TTTAAAATAAATTAAAATGAAGCACCAAAAAGTCGCTTGGGAGGTAGCCCATGTTAATATTAAATAAAAGCAAACGAGAATAGAAATGTATTATAAAACAGGACAAAGTATATGATCATTCTTTGAAAGGAAGGTTTATCTTTTGATTGTAAGTATTTATAACAAAACAGTTTGCCTTTATATAACGATCAATAAAATAAAGAATGGAAATGATGAATGTGTCAAAGAAACTACAACCCGACCAAAAAAGCAAAATACAGCCCAAGGCCACCAATGGGTCTTCAACACAGCGAGAAAATCCCGCAACCGGAGGCGGGCTTCAGCATATCTTTATAGACCAATGAAAGTATAATACCTTCTTATTGCATCATCATTTGGAACTTGATACTATTTTCAGTTGATCAACACCTTTATTGATCAAAATGAAAAGGTAAGTGCTCCAAAAATTACTCCACTTCACTTGTGTACTTAACTTGTAATATAACCGGCTATAATTTATCAATACTTAAATCATTACTTGTCACAATTTAAATTGATTAATATTTAAACATTACTTGAATTTATTATCAATAACAGGAGTTTTTAGATTTCTAAGAGACATCACTTGGAATTACTTGGAACATTACTCAGAATTACTAGAAACATTTCTTGGAGTTACTAAACACTTAACTTAGAATTAACAAAAACTTTACTGGAAATTACTAAAATTATTACTTAGAATTACTAAAATTATTACTAAAAATTACTAAAATTATTACTTAGAATTACTTAAAGTATTACTTAGAATTAATTGAAATATTTCTTAGAAATACTAAAACACTACTTTAGATAAGGAAAAACAGTACTTGGAATTACTAAAAATATTACTAAGATATAACTTAAAATATTACTTGGAATACATGTAGATTATATTGATTACTCAAATTACTTAGGTTGATTACTTACATTTTATATATGACTAAGAAACGAATTATTAGTATTAACTAGTTTTTCTTAAGAATTACTACCCATGATCAATCATTTCGACAAACTCAATTACTTTATTTCACTTATTTATTTACTTGTTTTATGTAATTTTCAAAATAACTTCTTTTTTAGAGTGTAGTGCAACTTGTTGTTTAGTACAACAAAAAGACTTGAAAGTTACTGTTATCAACATTTTTAAACAATTATTATCAACTTTCGAAAAGAATTTGTCAGAAAAAGTTGTAGCAAAAGTAAGGGAGACAACTGGAAAGTTAAAAGATCAGGTGGATTCTCTAATGACAGACAATGAAAACCAGAGAGAACGTATGAAGGCCAAAGATAAAACAACTGAGTGTTTGGAGGAACAAGTAAGTGATACCAACAACAGAGCTATTGAAGCTATAAAACTAGGAATTTATAATGAACAGTATAGTAGAAAGCGTAATATCAGAATGCTAAATTACCCAGAAAGCCCTAATGAAGTATTGAGAGATGAGTTTGAGAATATGGAGAAAAAAAGACTTGAAGGTAGATATAAAACCTGATGATGTACAGGAAATACACAGAATTCCAGGGAAAGAGGGACACACAAAACCTGTCATCGTTAAAGTGCGTAATACTGATTTGAAAATTAAAATTATGAAACAAAGGGGGGGACTAAAAAATGACATCAGATTCCATGATGATATCACACAGCGTAACCTAGAACTTATGGCAAAATTAAAAAAATATGAACAAATTTGAAATCATGCCTGGTTTTTTATTGATAATGTCTATGCCAAGCAACATAATGGAAGTGCAATTATATTTGACTTGTTTGACGATATTGAACAATAGCTGAAAAAAAAAAAATAGGTCGTAAAACATTCATTTCATGATTTATTTAATAGTCAAATGTTTCATCACTGTAAAAAAATATGATCAAAACATGCTGGGCTGTGCATGATTATTAATGTTTGCCGGTATATGTATAGTTTTGGTTTGTTTGTAGCTTAATTTGTTTTTTGTTTTTTGTTTTTCTGTTTTTTTAATTACTTATTTATTATACTAGTGTTTCTGTGAAACCCTTCTTACTTCACAGATAATTGTTATATTTCTTAAAAGGAGATTACTTAAAATATTTCACAAACCACATGGAGAAATAAAAATCTTTTGTAAACAAAATATAACAAATAAATAAACTCATTATAGATACCAGGATTGAAATTTTATATTTGCGCCAGACGCGCGTTTCGTCTACAAAAGACTCATCAGTGACGCTCAAATAAAAAAATGTTAAAAAAAAGGCCAAATAAAGTACGACGTTGAAGAGCATTGAGGACCAAAAATTCCTAAACGTTTTGTCAAATACAGCTAAGATAATCTTTTCCTGATAATTTTTATTTATGACCATATCAATGATAATTCATGTCAACACAGAAGTGCTGACTACTGGGCTGGTGATACCCTCGGGGAATAAAAACTCCACCAGCAGTGGCATCAACCTAGTGGTTGTAAATAAACTCATCATAGATACCAGGATTATTTTTTTTTATTTGCGCCAAACGCGCGTTTTGTCTACAAAAGACTCATCAGTGACGCTCGAATAAAAAAAAGTTAAAAGGCCAAATAAAGTACGGAGATGAAGAGCATTGAGGACCAAAAATTCCTAAAAGTTTTGTTTGTCAAATACAGCTAAGGTAATCTATTCCTGAGGTAGAAAAACCTTAGTATTTCAAAAATTCAAAGTTTTGTAAACAGTTAATTTTTAATTATGACCATATCAATGATAATTCATGTCAACACTGAAGTGCTGACTACTGGTCTGGTGATACCCTTGGGGAATAAAAACTCCACCAGCAGTGGCATCGACTCCAGTGGTTGTAAATAAACTCATCATAGATACCAGGATTAAATTTTTTATTTGCGCCAGACGCCTGTTTTGTCTACAAAAGACTCATCAGTGACGCTCGAATAAAAAATGTTAAAAAGGACAAATAAAGTACGAAGTTGAAGAGCATTCTTTTTACTAGTTTTGGATCTCTCTGTTATATCAGCAGATGACAGGGTCATTGTTTTAGGAATTTTCTATTGAAGGTGGAGAAAAAAGTTGTACCACCAATTGATATCATGCAAGATCTCATCGCTTTAGTATAGTTTGTGCCAGTCGTGCTTGAGCTACATAATGCCACAGCTTTATAATGTACAACCTTTCATACTATTAAACTTTCTCCAAATTACAATACCTTCTAAAGAGTGAGAGGTACACTTTAAATCATCCTGCTGTTAAGTTGCAAACTTAGATGGACCAGATGCTTAAGGTTTTGTGAACATGGCTTTTGTCCGACTGCATATGAGGTATGTCAGTGCCCCACCTAAAATTGTGTTGTTTCTGGAGTCTACAGTATTCTCTACAAAAAAAAACAGCACTGACACAAATTCACAAGATGCCACCAAGTGGAAAAATCGCATAGTTACGATAAATAATCGAGCGTCTGTGTCAGTTCACCTGTGCTTGGCAATTTGTACATGATGGACAAATGTGCCCTAGACCACTGACACAGAGACAGGGATTTAAGTTCTGGTCTTTAAGGTCCCGATTTGAAAACACCAATTTCTGTTACGGTCAGAAATCACCTTTTCATTGCAGCCAACAAAAGACAAAAATTAATAATTGATTTAACAAGATTTATTCAGTGTTATTAATATAATACAATTTTACAACAGTGTACAACAAATATTATTCAAATAGATTTTTTAAATATCAACTTAACTGTTAAAATATATGTCTGATCATTTGTCTTTTCGTTTTATCCAGAAATCTTCTCTTAACTATAATGGAATCATATTGAATATATATGTATATATATTAACACAACTACACAGTCATCAAATGATTCACATTGTATTATATATTTGAATTCAATTTGTTATTGATCTTTTGAACAATCTATACAGACAGAATCTACATGTAGCGCTAGACACTTACACAGATTTGAATACAATTTATACTTTTATAAATTAATTATTATTAATTACTGAGGATTAGAGGAAACAACTCTTTTGTATGATTTCTCAGTATATTTGAATGTAGACGTCACATACAAATGTAACATTCTACTTTTAAGTGAAAATTCCGCTTTTTTACATTAAACTCTACCACTAATGCAATGAAATAAAGACACATAAACTGTTTTTACAAACTATAATAGCCTCAGATTTCAGAAAGATTAATTTTATATTATTTTAGAACAAGGTTCCACACCACAAATCAAAGGTTGGGATTAATTTTGGGGTTATTGTTAAAGCTGTTTAAGAATTGGGGGCCAAAAAGGGCTTCACAAAAACAATTATGTGTTAAGTTCACAGACAATAACTTGAGTATAACTGTATAGATCACTATTAAATTTAAGTTAGCTTCCAAACCACAAAATGAAGGTTGGGATTTATTTTTGTGTTATTGTTGTTTAGTAATCAAGGGCTACAAAAGGGTAAAAACACAAGCATATGTCATGTTTCGAGACACTTATTTGTGTATTTTTTTACTGTGTGCTCGTTTCATAAAGTTGGTCCAAATTTGGGTCAATAACAAAGAGATATGTCTTTTGTGTTATTCAAAAGACAAACCACACTACAACTAACACAAGATAGAAAAATAAAAACGAAGGCAACATAAAAAGTAATTCTCAACCGAAGGAAGTAATGGAAAATGAAGACATAGTTTATTGCAAAACATAACATTTTTAACACATCATTTAGACTTATATTTACTATGACGTTATTTGTTTTGTTTGAGATAAATATTTCGAGATATTGAGACGGATGTCTTCAAGTGCAATTTAAAGATCGATTATATCTATTTCTATCTCTTAAATGTCGAATAGAAATAATTGTAACGTAAATAAAGAAACTCGTTTACTAATAGTTCCGTTAATGTCCTATTGTATGAGATTGCTTGAAATATATGACGCTTTGCAAAATTGAATTGCAGTGTTTATGTTTCTTCTTCGAAAGTTTTTTTTATATTAGAAATTAAATATAGATATTTACTTGCAGTTCATCTTCACTGGATCCCTGCCAATGTTTATTACAAACAAAGCAGATTCGAAATTTAGATGTAAGGTATGAGATATAAAATTAAAAAAAAAGGATAAAAACCATTTTGCATTATCTGTTTATATGATCATTAACAGTTTGTTGTAGTCGTAAAATTTAAGATAGAATCTTTAACATATACTTATATGCGCTCAAAACTATAATTCGGAACTTTGAGTAATACTGCATCCTTAAAAGAGATGAAAGATACCAAAGGGAAATACGAACTCATAAATCAAAAACAAAGTGACAATACATTGGCAAAAACACAAACAAACGACCAAATGGAAGGCAGCAGTTCACAAAAACGACAAAGAAAATGGACTAATGAACAACACAAACGATACGGAAAAAAAAGGGTTGGTCTCAGGTTATCCTAAAGGATAATCAGATTTTGCTCCACACAAGACACCCATCGTGTTGCTGTTGGAATTGCAAACCGTATGATACGTCTAATTCAGTACGTCTCATTAGAGGGACAGAGGCTGGGATAGTCGTTACGACAACATATTCATCGTGTTCTATGAAACATTTACTGCATCACAATAATAACCTCCAGTAGATACTCTAAATATTCAGTTTTAGATTCTAAATTAGTTCGTGCTATGTTTTATTATCAACACTAGTTTAATTATTTATCGTATTTTTTTTTTTGTAAGAAAGAAAAAATATCATTCTTCCCCTTATTCATGTAATTATACTATCAAATATCGTAAATTCATTTATTCATTCTTTAGCACAAAAGGCTCTTAAGAGCATACGATACAGTTTCGATCCCAAGATGATTTTCTTACGAAAAATGTGCATACAAGCTATTTTGTACCTCAGAAATTCAAATATGTAATAAAAAATACCTACATGTGCTACTTTAAGAGATAAAAGGGGTCGAAATTTTACTTAAAATTTTGGTTTTGTGGACATATCTATCCTTTGGATAGACACACCTAACTTTTTTATTTCAACAATTAAACACAACCGGATTTTTGAAGAAACATTATGAAAATCTTCTTTACATAAATATGCTCTACTTAAATATCAATTTTACTTACTAGTACACTTGGTTCAATCAAAAACCTGGTAATAATTTGTTCAAATAAGGCCTTTGAAAATAGTGTTATTAATTACTTTTGGAGTGTCAAAAATTCGTTGGAAATACTTAATAAATTGCATGCTTATGTTGGTGATTTCGAATCTGTTCAAAGTTTTGATTTTTCTACCCTATATACCACTTTGCCTCATAATCTTATTAAGAAAAAATTCACACACTTGATTAATTGGGCATTTAAAAAGTCGGAATGCGAATATATATTTTCAAACTCTTTTAAGTCATTTTTTAGTAACAACAAACAAAAGAACTATGTCAATTGGACCTGCTTTGATACTAAAACTGCCCTTGCATTTTTACAAGATAACATTTTTGTTCGCTATAAAGAGTCCGTATATCGTCAGGTTATCGGAATTCCCATGGGGACTAACTGTGCACCACTTATTGCGGACCTGTTTCTGTATTGTTATGAGTTACAATTTATGACAAAAATCAGCAAAGATCCATCGAAACAACACCTGAATCAAACATTTAATAACACTTTTAGATATTTAGATGATATGTTGGCTCTCAATAATGAAGACTTTTGTATGAACACTAAAGAGATGTATCCTGCCGAACTGACTTTAAATAAAGCTAATACTAACAATGAACACAGCCCTTTCCTGGATCTTGATATCTTTAACGGGAAGCTTAATACCAAAATTTATGATAAAAGAGATGATTTGTCATTTCCTATTGTTAATTATCCATTTTTAGATGGTGACGTTCCCTTGTCACCATCTTATGGTGTTTATATATCTCAACTTGTTCGATTCACTCGTGTATGTAACAACGTATTGGATTTCAACGAAAGAAATCTCTGTATTACTGAAAAATTATTAGACCAGGGTTTTCGATATCACAAACTAGTCAAACCATTTACTAAGTTTTATCATCAGTACAAGGACATCATTCGTAAATATAAATCAACATGCAGACATCTTATACGTTCAGGTATTTCACATCCAATATTTTATGGTAATATTCTTTACAAAGCACAAAATTATCGGTATTCACCTCAAAAGCTAACCAAATATTTAAATTGACTTATTAAGAAGGAATATAGTTACGATACTGTTGTCAGATCATTAAGGATTGCATATTTTGGTATTAATATTGATTCACTCATAGGATCTTTGCATCGGAAATAAACACATTTATTCTTAATCCAGTTGTTGGCATGATACGGGTTATGTTCTTCTTATATATTTTATGATGGTATGATACTAAACCCCTAACGGAAGGAATTGTACTTGATTTTCGTATGATGAAGACATAATCTTTCAATCAGTTCAATTGAGGTCTGGAGCTGGTATGTCAGTTACTGCTAGTAGTCCTTTGTTAATTTATGTACCATTGTCATTTTGCTTAGTTTCTTTTGTTGCCTATTCTGACATCGGACTCGGACTTCTTTTAAACTGAGTTTAACTGTGCGTATTGCTATGTGTTTCTTTGTTGTACTTTGGCTAGAGGTCTCACAAAACATGTTTAACCCCGCCGCATTTTAGCACCTCTTAAAAATTAGCGGACAAAAGAATAATCTTAAATAGAAGGAAAATATAACTAGGTTTAATCCACCATTTTCTACATAAGAAAATGCCTGTACCAAGTCAGGAATATGACAGTTGTTATCCATTCGTTTGATGTGTTTGATCTTTTGATTTTGTCATTTGATTAGGGACTTTCAGTTTTGAATTTTCCTTGGAGTTCAGTATTTTTGTGATTTAACTTTTTTATATGATTCAATTTGTCCTAAGACCATCATAATGTGAACTATCTTGAGACGCTTTGATTGCAGTCTTTGACGTATCCGTATGGCTATATATCTTAGGATACTTTCGAAATCAGGTGTAATGTATACCCTGGTCTACTGAAGCTATTACCTTGGATTGTAACAAAATGTGAATTTATTTAGTTTGCTTGTTGTTTAATTTCCTTTTAACCTTGTATTCTTTTTTTTATATATATATAACCATGCACGTATAAACAAAAGTTGCAAACGGTTGTCATAAATTTAAGTCTTGTGCTGTATAATGAGTAAGAGGTTTAATCGTTAACAACATGTTTTATATTGATTCCAGAAAATCAGTTTTATGGTGTGCAGTATACTAGGGGCAGCAGTTTTTTTCTCCATTTCTATTATCTATGTGGATTCCAAAATTGAGATTTGTGAGTTATAAAATTTTTGTTGATGCATCTTTATCATGTTTATAGTACATTATACAAATCTTTTTTCCGGGAAACGGTGTAGGAAACAATAACACCAATGCCAACGTGATAATTTCAATGATATAAAGACACTTCTTTTTGAAATGAGCACCTAGACGATCTAAATGAACCAATGTTTTTTTAAACGTTTATTCAAGACAAACATTAAAATTAGTTTTCTATATGAAATATAATATTGTTTTAAATTTTATAAGACCTAAAAAATTTATTTGCGTACGTATTATGTTATTGTGCTGTCTGCGTCTGCGTCGTAAGACTTTGGTTCGCTGACAATAACTTGTGTTTATATTCATAGATATCTATGAGAAGGATTATATGAAGTATTTTTGGGGGCTTTTCTCCTAGCGGTTTTGTAATTAGGTGCCATAAACGGTCAGTTTTATTGGTTACTTTAGTAGAAGTGCATGGATGTGTAAGAAATTTTAGAACAAAGTTCCACACCACAAATCAAAGGTTGGGATTAATTTTGGGGTTATTGTTAAAGCTGTTTAAGAATTGGGGGCCAAAAAGGGCTTCACAAAAACAATTACGTGTTAAGTTCACAGACAATAACTTGAGTATAAATGTATAGATCACCATTAAATTTAAGTTAGCTTCCAAACCACAAAATGAAGGTTGGGATTTATTTTTGTGTTATTGTTGTTTAGTAATCAAGGGCTACAAAAGGGTAAAAACACAAGCATATGTCATGTTTCGAGACACTTATTTGTGTTTTTTTTACTGTGTGCTCGTTTCATAAAGTTGGTCCAAATTTGGGTCAAAAAATTTAAATTTGTTTGATTTCTTCAAACATTAAATTGTTGGTGTTCTTTAATGTGTGTAATCTAACACGGTTTTTATTTTTTTTAATTTGTGGACTGTTTTTTAAACTGGACCCCATTAAGGTCCAAAGTAACCATTATAAATCAAAAGAATTATGTTATTTGACATGGTGAATCTAAACGTTTATCCATTATTTGAATATCGGAACATAATTGGTAAATGTCCAAATTTAAAATGATTTAAGAACTTATTCAACATTCATTCTGTGTAAGAAACTATGCTATCATTGCATAATTGCTCAGAATCTAAATTGAAAGATGTTATTGCACAGTTAACAGAAATTTTAAGTTGGGTCATAGTTGAAAATAGATATAACATCATATCTAATTTCAGAGAACTATTTTGAAGGTAACATCTCTGGTTCGTGAAAAATAAGTTTGATCATGGAAAATAAATTAGTCGAATAACAATATTTTTAGTATAAGTTGATTAACAGCAACTAGAAAAAGAAAAAAAAACTTAAATTCCCCTACCCGTCCTAAAGAGTGAGGTACTGGTCTGTTGTGGAAGACCAAAAGATAACCTCAATATATCTTTCATCTGCTTTTTCATCCCAAAGTTTAATAGGCTTTAAATTGAATATACTTGACTTATTTCTGTCTACAAGATGGTCCATTTTGAAGTACCGTCAGTTGCGCTGTGCGGGAAATTTGGATACGCTGCCATATATGAATGAAGTCTTGTTTAATTTGTTCTCGTCCTAAAGTTAATGTAATATTCTTAGTCTACGTTAAACATGTTAAACCTAAAACAAATAATTAATCAATCCTTTTTTGTTGTTTCAGCGAAGTATGCCCAAAACCTCTGGTTTCCATATTTCAATTTCTGTTGTATTCTTAATTGTATTTGACCCAAATAATTCATCGGAAATAAATGAAGTAATTTGCACAACTCCGAATATCATCTTTCGATAAACAGATGATGTTGAACATTTTATAAATAATTTTGAGAATATTTTCTTCTTTAGATATACATAAGTGTTAAAATGAATCAGATTGCTGTTTATCTGCGTCCACAAACTTATTTTGTATTAATTCAGATGTGTGATGTTGGCGGTTGTGGCTATATCAACACGGAATACTTTTATACAATATCAATTTTGATGGGCATATTATCCGTTGTTGTATTACTAATCACGATCATTTCAGCATCCTACTGTTGTTGTTCACCATGGGATATACAAGAAAATCAGGCAAGTACATGTTATGGCCGCTGTTGTTGCCTTAAGCGTTACTTGATATATATTGACAACCGCTGGGATTATAAGACCCTGGTTCATATGTAGCACCCGTTATGTTGCTTATATAATTTTCAACCATGTGTTAAAGTTACGAAAATTGAAGTATATTCGTCGTCATCTGTGAAACAGATATTCAACATGTTTCTTAAAGGTCAATAACACATAATGGCGTTCGATAAATATTTGAAGTTAAGAGTCCAACTTTGCCTCTTGTAACTCTTGTTTAACAGCTTTCATGTGAGCAACAACCTTCTTTCAATGAAATCATGATATCAAATGCAAGCTATGGAACATCGTGTCAACTGAGGTATAAAACTCCATATTATTGCTACATGGAAATGGATCACAATTGTATGGTGAAATGATCTCTTTTGTCGTTAAGTTTTGGCATCAACCGATTTTTAGATGTAAGTCAAGATATGAGAACCACTTAACTGTACCTGTGGTATCTTTTATTTAAACTTCAATTTAATATACGCGTTCAACTTGGTAACCAAACTTTGAATTATTTAGTGAAAAGAAACTATAGTAAGGCGTAGAGTTACAGGATAATAAATTATTCTTTCGAGTCGTCTTAAAAGCTTCAGTGTGAAGCCAGCTTCACGAAAATAAAGGAACAAGTCGGCCAGAAGAGGAGCATATTTGTTTTTTTATGAGACTGCTGATTGTTTATTGAAAAACGTGTTTTCCAAACGTAACAGATATGTTGTCAATTATGATACTGAAAATGTCAGTTTAAAATATTTTTGTTTGAATCAGAGTGTTTTTTGTTTAATAAATTAATTAAGATTTACCGCCTCCTAATAAAAGATAACCGTGTCTACATTGGCCATTCTTTGTAATGAAACAAAGCAAGGCATGTTCCATTCATTTGTGTTTTACTCTGGAATATGGAATATTTATTTACAGTAAAAAAAAGTTTACTGTTTTAATGTAATTGCAAGATAAAAGAGATTTGGAGTAAATGTATAGAAACCAATTTGATTGATAATAGGGTTAAGATGTTTTAATATATAATAAATAGGTTACATGGTATCCTGGGTAGACCAAGTACTTGGTGAGGACATTTCTGTCCAATTCTGTAAGTGAAAAAAATGGTTAATACGTTTTCAAGCTTGAACGCATTTCTTTGTTATTCTTAGGAAATCATAAAATCAAACTCTAACAATGATATAATTTTTCATTACAACTTCGAAATATACGGCATTTGCAGGTGCTACATAAAATGGAAAGTTCACACTTGGTTGAACACACCTCTTAAAGTTAAGTTCTTATCTTACAATCACTGTCAATTCAAACATGAAAATATGAAGCAGGTACGAATGTACTCTTAACCATTCACTATGCTTGATGCTTACATTTCTTAATTCGGTCAAAACCCATCCTAATGAAATATTAGTCTCAGGGCTTTCATACGTCCAGATGATTTGAACTCAATACTGATATGTTACATGGCAGACATTTTAATAGGTTCTCCCCTGTAAGTAATTAATTTCATAATTTTATTGAAAACAGATGTTCAAACGGATTAGACAAAACTGATATTAGAAAGAACGAAATATATGGCCGCCAAAGATTACTTTTCAATATTGGTCAGTTTTCAGTTTTCCATCTCAAACTATGCAGTCACACATTTCCAAACTTGAAAGTAATTACGATTCGTAAGACTTTTTGCAAAAATTTTTCATTTGTTAAATTTTCTGTTTATCGTTTCGCCTATGAAGCCAGAATTGATAGAATGGTCATTTACTCATATCTTTTTAACCCGGAAATTAAGAGCTTGGCATATTGTTAATATAGGTAAAGACTGTATATTGCCATCAATGATATCATTTGAATTTGAAATGTTGAATTTTTAATGTGATGCTACATTGCAGTCTCAGTGTCTAAATATTTTAAAGTGTTTTGTATTACAAAAATAAAATAAAGCAAAATCACACGGCTATCAATGTTAAGTCTGAATAGAGCTCATCTTTTAATTCAGATTGAAAAATATGATAGTCATTTTGATGATATTGTACTATGTTATCAATAGTAATGTTGGTTAATGTAATGAAATACCTTATGCGTTTTCTCTATACAAAGTAAACTACAAAATAATGTTCATTACCACGTGACCAAAATAAAATAACAATTCACCAGGCATTTACAACAAAGCTGTTGTCATGCAATTGATTATTTAAATTTGTTCGTACACACTTGTCAACTAGGTCCTTTGTAAGGTACTTAAATTAATGTTGTTGAGTTTTGCTGCGTCTTGTTTCATTCCAAAGCTAAGTTTAAATATTAGAGATAAGGGCAACAACTTTTACACACATATTGCTTATGCTTTCTTTAATTTCAGCAAACGGTTTCCTATGTGAATGAATCACAGCCTGAAAATACTTTAAATACATCAGATATTCATATTGCCGTAACAAACGAGCAATCAGTAACGACCACAGCCGGGGAAACAAATGATAAAACATTATTGTACCCTTAAAGTCAAGAGAAACAAGAAATAAGTGGAAATAATCATGAAGCTGAAATTCATCTAACACAAACTCTTTTAATATTGTTTCACCGCCGTACAACGCATATCATTGACATAATATACAACAGTATTCTCAGACAGTATGTGTTTTATTTAATCTCGTAGCATTACATTGAATATTAACAGTAACATGTACATACAAGAGAAAATCGGTGATTTCATTCCTAGAAACGTTATATCAGAGGAAAAGAGAAACAAGAAAGACTCTTTTATGACATTGTTTTTTTAAACAATTAACTGTACCCATTTGGTTACATGCGTTAAACATTTTTCTATACGAGAAAAATTTACCGTAATGAACTCTCGGTTTAGTATTTTGCGTATTGGCAGTAATCTTTATATGAAGCAAAGATTAAATAGGACCTCAAATACTCTACACGCATATTTTGGACCAATTTTCGGAAAACCTTATCAACTTGAACATATTGTGCAGTTGCTGCTTCTGCAAGAGTGTTGCTGCATAAAAAAAGAAAGAAAGCAAATACAAATAATTCGTAATCCCTTTTGTTTTGACCTCATAATTAATTTCTTGGCTCTAGCTGTAGCAGTGGTATCCTTAACTTCAATTTCAATAAGAAACTTATTTACGTTTCAATAAGTAGGCCATGTGGTACCGGTATGATTATGTTATAACAATTGTGATATTTTGCCAGCATTAAAAATAAAGAGACTGGTATGAATTCATTATACATCTTTATAAAATCAACTGTTTCTGTAGATTAATTGAATTCCACAAAGTTAAAATCTTAGTTGATGAGGAACAGCAATGTAATTCATATTTTTGTTTTAAATTAGAAAGTAGATGTATTATCAAAAATAAAGATATTCTATAGTTTAATAATCATGATGGTTATTTGCATATAAATATAATCAGACATATCATATGCAAGACGATACAATATTAAACATTGAAACCTGCATTATTCGTTCATATCGCAACCACTAGGTCGGTACTCTAACAGTCCGTGCACCGTCTGTCGACTTATTTGACATATCCACTATCCAGTACTTTGGTATGTAAATGAAATATGGTCTTTTTTTTTAATAATCATGAACACTCTAAAACAGGTTTCTACGATTTGGATTACACTCCTGGTTTGTATAATTATTTACAGTGGGTCAGGTAAATTAATTCTAAGAGACTATATTTTTTTCCATGTCATGTCCGCCATGTTTACCTTGTTGTATCAATACCAGTTGTGCATTCACAGCATTGGTCTTGATAGAACAACCTTGGCATAATGTTGCTAACTAACCAGAAAGTATAAAGATAACATTTCCTTTCTGTCACTGCAGCAAATTCTTCACGAATTGGTTGATCTATGAGATGGTCTGTTCCTTTATATACTAAATAACGACATGTCCCCCCATCTAAGATTGTGGTTTACCATCTTATTCTACGTCGTCTGGTTTCCTAAGTACCGAACGGGACCTATTCCTTAATATGACTGTTTTGTCAAGTGTAGTTATGATATCGTTTTTGTGAGTCTGGTTGGATATCGTGTTTTGTCGTATCGTTTGTGGTTTAACCTCTGCATTTTTGGTACATTTCGGTACGGTTCGTGTTACCTAGTCTTTAGTTGCGTTTTGTGTACTATTGTTTGTCTGTTTGTCTTTTTTTCTTTTTTAGCCACGGCGTTGTCAATTTATTTTCGAATTATGAGTTCGATTGTCCCTCTTGTATATTTCGTATTTGTCAGTAAACTCGAATTACTCGTTGTTCGTCAACGGTGTTTTTGTTTTATGGCGTTTGTTTTCAAGTGTGTTTACTGTTTGGTCTTACATGATCTTGCCTTATATTACAGTTATTTTACCATTGTGTTTTTATATGTATGAAAAAGTTAAGATAGTTAATCAGCTATTTCAGTTATATTATATTTTAGTTTAAAACAACTATATGTACAAGTGTTTTGTTCATGCACAGTGTGAATTTAAAAGAAAAACCAACATAGTAAGAAAATACAAATAATTATACCATTACAAATATAATTCCATTTTAATATTCTTGTCATGGTTATAAATAATACATTAAAGAGGGGCAAAAGATACCAGAGGGACATTCAATCTCATAGATCAAAAATAAAAAGACAACGACATGACTAAAAAAGAAAAAGACAAACAGACAAATAATAGTACACAAGACCCAACATAGAAAACTAAAAAACTAAGCAACACGAACCCCACCAAAAACTGGGATGATCTCAGGTGCTCCGAAAGGGTGAGCAGATACTGCTCCATATGTGGCACCCGTCGTGTTGCTCATTTTATTAAAATGAAACCATTACAAAATCTATCTCAATTTTAAATTCTTGTACGCGTCTAAAATAAAACAAATATATTAAATTTTTAGAAACTTACCTGTTATAATATAAACGTAACAAAAAGTACGTCACTGTTTTTGGCCTTGATACATTTGTGTGACGCACAATTTATAATTCGTTTGTGGTGTCCTGGTGTACTGTCGTAAATTCATTGGAAGTGTCCGTTGTTATTCTTTGGTTTACATGTTGTAATGTACTATTATGTCATTCATTTATATATTTCTTTGTACTTTAAGTGTTTGCGTTTATTTTTACTGTATTCCTATCACGTAATGGTGTTACTTTAGCGGTATATTTAATATAGCCATATCAGAGGGAGGTTTGGATAGCTATAAAACCAGGTTCAACCCAACCTTTTTTTTTTGTAAAAATGTCCTATACCAAGTCAGGAACAACGGTATACTAATGTTGTCTTTATTTAGTCGGTAAAAGATTGGATAAAAGTGCATTACATATCCTTAACTAAGAACACACAAAGTACAGCAGTTGGTATTTTTAATTTCAAACTAAGTTCAAAGGTTTGATATACAAGAGATCAATTACGACATACGCCAAAGCTTGAACATTTTGAAAAGTTGACGAGGATGAAATACAAGTCTATTTGTTACTCAAATTGATTCCATAGTTAAGTTTTGTGGTTTTGATTTTTCATATGAATAAATGTGAATAAATGACTTGACCAAAGTTACCTCTTGCATTATATTGATATTCTTAAATTATATGCATTTTTGAACTCATATGTAAAAAAGACTGCCCTGACATTGTAAACTAGAAGGAAATTATAACTGTTAATACTACATTTAATTATTAGCTTCGCACGGAGTTGATTTAAGGAGCACTTAAAATATTATCCAGTCCATAATGATGATTGTATGTTATTTTTCTGACGGTTTGTACTGTGTTGTTGTTTGATAGATGAGTTACACTTCAGAGTTCAAAGGGTCTATAACTAAGTCTTTACCGACATAAGATATGTCTACAGTAACTATTCAAATCTAACAGACAACCGAGTTTCGCTCACGAGTTCAATTAAGACTCTTCACAACGTCTGCAAACCGAGACTCAGATAACAACAAGAGTCTTACTGATTTTAAACGATCCGGGAGGGGGGGGGGGGGGGGGGGGGTTCAGATGCAGGTTTGTCAGTCGAAACATAGATAAATTATAACCATAAGCTCAAAATAAAAGTATGCATCATATCACGTCATTCAAAATGCGTCTGAAAGTACAGATGTCCAAAAAAAGGCTGGAATCTAATGCTATACTAGTGAAAGAAACCACGATAATGGGTTTATTGGAGAATCCTTTTAGCGACGATTGTGGTCAACATAAGGAATCTTGTTGATGGGATTTAGTTTCGTTATTTTTGTTTGTCTGGTTTGTCTCGGAGGCGACAACAGGCAGTTCTCCGTGATCCGTGGTTAATGTGACCAGTGGTATGGGTCATACATCAACAACTCTCCATGACAAGCACCTCAAAACATGCGTCAAGAGGTATGCAGGACTGTTGTAGTAGAAGGAAAAGAGTGTTTAGACTTCTCCTTTCAAAAAGACTACTTGTGCATTAGTGAATATGGTTAAATATGCTGAAAACTCTCATCGAACGTTCATATAAATAATGATATCCGAGTCAGTAAATGTGTACCTGCACTATTTAGTCATTCTTTCCACCCCAAACAAAAAAAATCAACTCCATTTAAAGAAACAGGTAGTTAACAAAGCATTGTGGTTGAATTTGAAATAATATTGGTCGTGAACAAATAGGATAATATAAACTTAGAGTAGTGCAAGTAAGAGTGACTATTTTGCTATAATTTAACCTATCGTTTTTGGATCAGTTAACCAAGCTAAGTAAATATTCATTAGGTACAAATGAATTCACTCTACAGAAACAAACTGATAAAACTTTGTCTGAAATTGCCCCAAGAAACGTGTTTAAATACTAGACTATTTTATACAATAGCACATATAGAAAAATTAGCTCAATAGATATAAGAAGATGTGGTATGAGTGCCAATGAGACAACTCTCCATCCAAGTCACAATTCATAAAAGTAAACCATTATAGGTCAAAGTAAGACTATTTGTTGTTCTTGCAATAACATGAATAAAAGATTATAAAATTAAATTATCAATATTCCAAAGGGAACTAAAACAATCAATGATTGTCCATGACTTGGTCTTAAATATATAAGGTTTTCATTGTTGACGAAAAGTGGTTAATCAATGCAAAACAATGCAAACATTAGTCTCTGAACTTTCGATATTGCAAGACGTCATGTAGCTACGTACTGGCTTGGCTAAAATGAATGAACGAAAAGAGAAAATGTTAGATAAATAGCATCAAAGTAGTAGAAGGGTGACTTGATTTTAGTGTGACAACAAGGGTCAAATAAAAAAATGCGACCGTATCGTAATAGCCGGTATCGAATCAGAACAAGTAATAAACATACAAATCTTTCTGCAAAAATCAATAGTATTCATGAATCTTTTGGGCAATATGGTTTCCAATAAAAGTGCAGTGATATTTCTGAATGTTGTCCCCGTTGGCTTTCAATGGTTTCAATCGTGTTAAATAATAAATTGATAGACATTTATGTTTATTTTACGATTAGAGTTATTGAATATCAAATCAACGGAAATCCGCACTTGCATTGATAGTAAACAGACAAAATACGATCTTTCGATAGATTTCGAAAGGTGGAAATATTGTTTTTTTGGAAATAATGTAACAGATATCATAACAAATAGCTCTTGGAAGCTTGGACTCGTAACAAAATAGTCAAAGGTATATAGGAATAAACAAAAATATTTACAAATGTCATCTTTTACGTAATAAGATATCACCGGATACATTAAGATTTATGCTTTTCTTGCATGGAGAAAATCCCAACACATTTGTGAAAGGAGGCTCATTTCTAACTGACGGTGTAACAAAATTGTTCGTCACGACCCAATTCTTTACATGTTGCCTGTGTCGGGTTTTTCATTTTGTTTTCGTTCTCATCCAGTATTCATATCAAGTTAGTGTTGTGCTGTTAGTGTGAAGTCTAGTTATTTAACCTGCTAATAGATATAAGTGTAACATCATTGATATCCCAAAACAAGCCAAGTGTAAATCGGTACGGGGAAGTCTGACAGTTTGATTGTGTAAATGTTAAAAAGGTCATTGCTTAAGCTCACTTCAGTAGAAATTTATATTTTAAGTCAGCTATTATGAAGTTTGCTGTTAATATCAAATGACAAGGATATAAATTGAAATGGGAGCAAAACTAAGTTTGTCGACAGCGGCAGTCACCCTTTCTATATATTCATCTCCAGTCATGCATATCCACACTTGGTCAACATGTCACAATTGGGAATAGGACACAGAGAAGGTTAAATCAATAAAGCAACTAGTCTACATTAACCAGCTTTCATACTTCACTTAAATAAACTTAAATAAGAGAAAATAAATATGCAGGTAAAACTGCAACAATAAGTTAACGTTTAAACGTAGTTAAAAAAATTGAGATAAAAAGAAAATCAATAGACAATAAATTTTAAAACATTCAATAGACAACAAATCTTATTGGTTTGCATTTGATAAGGTTACGTTATTTTCTTTGTCTTAATGTTATATTTGTCAATGTGTTATAAATTCAGGTCATATATATTCATGTTTATTGGGGAATTATAACACTGCTTTACTGTTTATATTTTTAGGTCATTCCGTTGATAACAACGTTTGTAGATCGTCACTGTTAGTGATATAAAATGCCTAATACTGTAAGTACACATTTCTGTCTTCCTTACTGAAATAAATGTATTATCTACATATTTGTGAGGAACCAATAATCTTATAAGGAAAAAGAGACACTGTTCTAAAGCATTGACAGTTCATGTTATCTTTTTATATATGAGAGTCTTGATGGGGTACGGTGTATGGAATAGATAATAATGGTCAAAATATTTAGCGCGTAGAAAAAAACTAGCAAAGAAAATAAAGATTAGAGAATAACGGGGTGAAAAAGTAGAAAGAATAACTGTGGGAAAAGAAAGAATAAGGTAATACTACGCTGATTAAAGAAATGAATGATGTACAGAATGGATGAATAAAGGCAACAGTAGTATACCGCTGAACCATATCATAACCGATAAATATAGTGAAAGTATGTGTATAAGAATATGACGGGAACGCGTTATTTTTTAAGGAAAGAGAACAATGCCATCCCCAAAATTAAAGAAATCAAGAAACTCCAACCAGACAATGATATATGATATATTAAAAAAACAATTGTTGTGAAGAGCTAGACAGTTGAATGCGCATATAAAATAGAAAAGTGGAAAGTTAATCAAATCTAATATCAAAGATGTGCATATTCAGTAATGTATTTTCAAGATGTAAACATAAACAGGATAGCAGGAATTTCCAAAAAATATCATAACATACAAACAACCAACAGCCAACATCCTTCTTTTCTGAAAAAGTAGTGTGTGCACAAACATTCACTTACAATGTATGTAAAAATAGTATAAGAAGATGTGGTACAATTTTCTATTTAACAACTTTCGATATGAGACGTAATGACATAGAAGCAAACCTATTCAAACCATTCTCGCCAAAGTGTACAATTACGAATAATAATCTGCGTATTGAAAATCAACAAAAAGACCCAGGTGCGAAATATAATTGTATGCAAGAAGTAAACAAATAAACAACTAAAAAAATTAACACTCCCCACCCCCCTCCCCGACAACAAAATGAAATGAAATAAAATCAATTAATCTCACAAAAGTACAATTTAAATGATTATTAACCCTGATTTTGTTTTAAAGAAATGCCTTCAACTAATAGATTATTTGAAACTTCTTGTTTGATAAGTTACCTTACAGTAAAAGCTGTAGCGGTAAGGTCATTGTTTACAACTATAGTGCAATAAATCTATATTCAAGTGTAAAAAAAAGTTACCTAGTCTTGATAGTCATTTCTAAGTTTAATGTGATTAAAATCTGAAAACACCTGACTAAGACATGTTGTCTAATAACTATAAATAGTAAAATGCTATTTTATTCATATATTTAGAAAAATGCAAACCACAACTAACAACACTGAGCAAACCGCTGTGAGTATGCAAACAAGAGGAAATCAAGGACCTGAACAAATATTTCGTGTGAAGACATTTAGAATATTGGGTGGTATACAGATTGGGCTCGGCGCAATATTAGTAATCCTGAGCCTAGTTGAATTGATAGGGAGGGTTTTCCATATCGTAGTAACCTTACCAATACTTATATGCTCTGGATGGGTAAGTATGTTATATTTTGTAAGAGAATGGACATGGTGAAAACAGTATAAATAGTATTGTTGTCACTTGTTTTTACCTTGAATTTATACTTCACTAAATGTGTGCTTTATAGAGAAAGTTTATGTATGCTATCAACTGTATGAACTACAATTTTTGTATTGTTGTCGTCTTTGTCAAATAAACTATCAACTACAACAACTTTTAAGATGGCATCTTTGTTTATATCTTTATACTTTTTGGTATGTTTGTCTGAATGGGTTGATCACCTAATTTTGTCAATATATCGGAATTTTGTACAACTGTCACACAAAGAGGAGGTTTTAATATATATACAACCAGGTTTAAACCACTTTTTTCTTCGAAAACAACTCTTTTCTAAATCAGAATTATGACATCTGTTTTCCATTCGTTCCGTTGATTGGTAAAGTCAAATTTTTGATTTTATCAAGTTTACTGAATCCCCCTTTGTGAATTTTCTCTTGAGTAAAATACGCATTTGGTGTATTTACCCGAATGCACTATAATTTGATTTGTATTCTACCATTGGTTCAATGATTCTGCTGGAAGACTGCAATTGTCTTTGTACTTGTATGATGATCCTGGAGAAAATCTGGCAAACACATGTTGAAAATCTTAAATTTCTGAATACATTCCCGATCTACAGGTGGTTCATGGATTGTTTTTCTTGTCCTTTTTTTTTTTTGCTTTTTCAGTTGTGTATCCGTTGTTCAATAACCTATTGAACATATTTCAAGTAAAAAAAAGTAGATGGACCATAAAGTTGTTGATGCTTCATGTTTAGTTCCAATTGGAATAATTGTTTCAGATGAGAAATTGCACTTCCAAAAAAGTCCTCAATAAAAACTTAGAATATGGTGATATATGGCAAACTTTCATACATATTTTTTTCTATGGAAAGCAGAAAAGAAAAGCAGACAAAAAGATAAACTATATATAGTCATAAAAAAATTAAACATAATACCTTTTCCTTTTCTGTTTGATATTTATAAATAAGATATTTTCAAAATGAATAAAAAAAAATATGTACATCCCTTTAAATGAAAAATGAAAACGACAAAATTTTAATAGGTTGGTATCCATACAATAGGTGAAACTCTAATTCAAACCGAATGCAGATATTTGTACGTGTATGACTTTTATCAATAGTAAAATGAGTGACTATAATTAGATCAAAAATCGACCCGAGTCCAGACCGGTTAAGAAATAAATCCGTTAGAACTGACTAAATAGTTTATACTAAATCCAAGGACGTGTCGATTCAAACGACAAGATTACTGATTTCAGAGTAATGATATTTGACTAACTATATTAAAACTATGGTATGCAATAACATACAAAATGACGTGTTGTTGTTACTGAATTATAGAACAAGATCACATCATCGTTCAAAAGCAGTGTATGATAAACATGTAATATTTGATTTATAACACGGTGACATATGTCATAATTGATGTTTTTTAAATTTACTAATTATTATAGTTTGTCATGACTGGATGCCTACCTCTGTGCATGTCAAAGAATACAGAATCGAGTTTTAAATGCAAGGTAAAGATAATTGGATGATGTTTATACGTAAGAAATTTATTTCATTAAAAAACTCCAAACAAGGCAGTCCCAGTCACAGAAAATGAAGCTAAAAACAGAATTTTGAATACATTACAAAATGTAAGTACAGTTTAATTAGCCAGAAGATTTTAAGGCTTGATTGAGATCGCATCCAGTTATGAATATTTGTCACATTTTCATGATGTACAGTGTACGGCGTGTAATCGTGATTGTAGAAAAAGATAAATGCGGTTATTCGTTTTGTGTATATGTTAATGCTTGTCGCACATTGTAATCGTTAATTGTATTTACAAAAAAGATATTTCTATGAAGGAGAACACATTTATTCGGAAAATAAACTAAAAAAAAACAATCAAATATTTTAATCGAATTACTATCAGAATCACGACCAACGGAAAACGACGAAAACCATTAAAACTGGAGTAAAAAATATAGAGTGAATACGTGTTTTTTTTTAATTCAGAAAATCGGTTTTATGGTGTGTAGTATAATTGGAGCAGCATTTTTTTCCCCGATTATATTTAGTTTCACACTTACTGCTGGAAGTGCTGTAAGTACATGTAGTAATTTTATCTATTCGAATTCTTTATTGCAGTTTCATTACTCAAAACAGTTTATCTAAAACTTTTTTTTCGAAAAACAAACAATTATTACCGGACTTCTGCTATACGAAACAATTGAAAATTGGATGTCTGAAATGTTAAGTAGACAAATACTTAAAAATTGTATGGTATAAAAAGATTGATATTGTAGTCTTGGATACATTAGATTCAATTGTTACTGGCTTTGACCTAGCAATGCTTAATGTCGATCTGATGCACCTTACCCTTTTAAACCACTGTCCCAACTTAGGAAAAGAGTTCGGCGCCACCAAACATATTTAACCCCGCAACTGTATGTGCCTGTACCAAGTGAGAAGCCTTTGATTAAGTGGTTGCCGTTTGTTGCTGTATATTATGTTTGTCTTTCGTTTTTTGTTTTGTACATACTAAGAAACCGGTGTTAATCTAAGTTTTGTTGGGACTTGTTATTGTCAAGATCGTAGATTTTACGGGTCTACTGTAGTCTCTTTTTTATTCTATGATTTTGTATCTAACCATGTAACTCGTCAGTTTCATTTTGTGAAATTAAATGAAAGCTTTTTACAAGGATTAGTATTTTACTATGCAAAATGGCTTGATTTATTTTTACACAAAACGATATTTGCATTATATTATTTATTTAGTTTGATAAACATAATTTGTTATGCGAATTTAAGTTATATATACTTGAAACTGGAACTCATAATTTACCCTTCTCGTTGCCAATAATTGTTAATACAGATCAATTTCTTTAAATTTCTAAAAGTACGTCTCAATCAACTCACAAGGACAAATCCTTTGATTTGCTTTCTGTTACGAGGAATTTTTGAAGATTTTATTGTTATATTAAACAGATTTAAAACTAGAAATAGAAACGTCTTCGTTCACTTAATAATTATCGAAGAAAAGTTAGATGGAGTATTGTCAATTGATCGTACGCAAATCTCAGATATAAGATCTGAATTCTGATAACATGTAACGCACATAAAAAGCAAACTAACAAAAATACTTAACTCCGAGAAATATTCAAAGCGGAAATTCCGTAATCAAATGGCAAACTCAAAAGTTCAAACACATCAAACGAATGGATAACAACTGTCATATTCCTGAATTGGTACAGGCATTTTATTATGTAGAAATTGGTGTATGAATCCCAGTTTTATAGCTATCCAAACCTCTCACTTGCATGAAAGTCGCATAAAATTCCGTTATATTGACAAGGATGTGGGAACAAAACAAACAACGAAATAGGTAACAATGTAAAAAATAGGGATACAGCAGTCAAAATTGTCACTATAAAAACAATCAATTATGTTACTAAGAAACACAAAAAAGCATGTAGACAAAGCACACTAGCAAAAATGAAAGACAAGAATACAAAAATTACCGTAGCACAATAAAACAATGACTGATGTATAAGTACAGAGCCACGTCATATGTTACAAAGAAACACAAAAAGGCAAATAGACAAGGCACATTAGTAAACATGAAAGACAAGAATACAAAAAAAAACCACAACACAATACAGTAACACAATGACGGGATGTAGAAGAGCAGAACATTAAAACGCATTTAAGTGTTGAGAAATCTATAAAAGCTAAAATCCATTTACAAGATCAGTTAAATCATCAAAACATAGTATTAATAATTTGCAGACATAAGAAATAAAATAATTAATGGTTTTTGCCCATTGTTGAAGGTCGTATGTAAACATGTTATTGAATAAATTAATATTTGTTTTGCAAGAGCATACAAGATATGCTTGGACAATACATGATATATACACAATTTGAGAAAAGAATGATATAAGAGAACATAACACTAATAATATAACTATCCAATAATATCCTCAGAGTTCGGTATTTTAGTTATTCAACTTTTAACTATTTTTATCAATGAAATAATGCTGAATTACATTCAAATTATTTAGCTAACAAATGAAGTGCTTGTTTCAACTTGGAGAACATGCAAGAATATTCCAATTTATACAACGAGATAAGTTGTGTAATACCAAACGACATATTTTGTTCTGCATCAGCTTCGAACATACAATGCTGAAACAAGAAAATATGGATGTCTGTTTTTTTGTTTTTTTTTTTGTTTTGTTTTTTGGTTGTTTGTCTGTTTATTTTAAGTCATTAACTAAATGAAAAATATCTCTCGAAGAAGTACGAGAACAAGGACTTATAATTGCCACATTATACATCTATCGTCAATTTTAAATGCTTTCGAATTCCGACTTTCATATTTGAAATTCGGATGTGTTGCAATTGTAGACAGATGTGCACATCAAAATTAAGTCAGATATTGATTTATGTTTTTAGTGCAATAAGTACGATTTAAGAAAATGTATCATTTTTACCGATATATAATATAAAAAAAGTGTTTAAGTTTATTACATTATACACACGTTTTTAATATATATTTCAGCAAACCCCTCAAGAGTATAGAACATGGCATATTTTAACATATTCCATAACCTCATTATCTGCTGCTGTAGCAATAGTTGCAGTTATATCAGCGTCCTATTGTTGTTGTTTTTCGCCTTGGGGATCAAAAAGTCAGCAGGTATCTAACTATGTAGTCAAACTTTAAGAATATATCTGTATTGTATTGTATTGTTTATATTTACGCGGCTAATATATGAAAATGTATATATGAAATAGGATGTGAAATTAAAAAAGGCGATCTAGCATCATGCTATGAGACAACTTTCCCCCTCTAGATGGAAGGATTTAAATATTCGAAAGTTTCTAGAACGTGAAATTCTATAGAATTGCATCTCATTATATGACCTTCACCAGAAGTAAAGACGCATGCATAGCTTAAGGTGTCATGACAAATTCATGTTAATATATGTAAAATGAAAAGGTTACAATTATTATTGATGGCTTTTAAACACCAAGTAGCAACTTCTACATGGGCATAAATATCTTGTTATGTAGGATTTACAATGTTGACCGATCTTGTAGAGAAAAGTTTATATAATTACTGAGAGATTTCTTGTTATATGCCAATAGTAGTGTATTTGCGGTAAATTCACATCATCATCATCATCATTATCATCATCATCAACATCATCATCATCATTACCAATTTTTACGTTATTACTGTGTCATCTTTTTTCAAAAGATAGACTCTTAAAGTATTGTATATTCTTAATTATTGCATGCTCATATTGATATTGTATTGTAATTTATTGTTATTCGAAGCGGACTTCATAAGTATGGTTTACTTGTGTCTTATCCATTTACTTGAGTAAATACAATATGTTTAAACAAAAATACTCTATTTCACTGACAAAAGTACAGAGAGTGTCTAGTTCGGAGCATAAATGTTTTTTTTTCAATAGGACATCTACCCTTTACAGACCTTTTGAACAAATTATTAACGTGCAGATGGAGTAATAATCTCCCAACACACGGATACTTTTAACTAACATCCCTTTTACGATCAGATATAGCTGCATGTTAATACACTCCACATATGATTTAATGCCGCCTCCCTTCAGCAAAACGTTTACAACCGAACGAGAAACGTTCAGATGGACATATTTCTGTACCTCGGTAACACACATATAATTATTTGAGTATAAATCAATGCTTGTACCGACAACTTCAATATTCTTTCTCGTATACAACTATGCTATACAGGATCGTTCATATCTTGGTGTATCAGCTTTTTTTTTTATGGGTTGCTTATACCCATATCTTTATTCAAGTTTACATAACAAGTAATTAATGCAGAAATATATGCACAACACGCACATGTATTGTAAAGCAAAAAGCTCATTGATAATGCGCTTGTCGTCGGATTTTTTAATGTATCTCTTTCACTTTATCTTTTTTACATTCAAAAGCTTACAAATTTTCATTTATGTTCAACAGTTTGTTGTTGTTATGAGCCCCTTACAGCTTGGGATGAATTTAAATACACCACGAAATCAAATTCAAACAACAAATATGCTGCCTGAGACCGGAAAAACAGTACTGCATCCTAAAGCTCACCAGTACAAATTTGTTGGCGGCACTGATCAAGGGCTTGGTTATCCACAGAATCCAGACATTTCAAACTCGTATTCACAAATACATATATAAATGCATAAGAACGTAGATTTAACACACAAGTAGTATTAAAATTGTTATGGTATCTGATTTATTCTCGCAAAATTTTGCTAGATAGTAAGGTCAAAGTTGATGATGACAAGACATGTTTGCACCTTATCGTATATTTCGTACAGGGAGATATTTCTGCAGCTTATTGTACATTTTGTTATAAATTGTATGAAGTTCAAGAACTATTCATTTGATTTATAATGAAACGGTATGTCATGTCTCTCATTCAGTACATGGATTTAAAGAGTGCGTAGCTGGTTCATCCAAAATATCTTTCTATCTCTCTCTGTTTTCTACCTTGTGTTTTCTATATATTGGTCAAGCCATTTTCTTTAAAATGTGATATTTTTTTAACAAATGTCCTGTTATTAAAAATGTCTCGTGATTGGGGATATTCTTCCTTTGATATAAAATGACCGGTAAATATTTAGTCTGGTGATAACTTTTGTGTTTGATTTGTCAACAATTTGCTGCTTGCAAGTTCAACAAGTAGGACATGAATACTTTTTTCTGTTTCATGATTAGATATGTTGTAAATATGTTGTATCCGTTTGTTAATGTACTGCATTTACAATTGCTTCTCCGCATTATTTGTTAAACTCGATTCTAGGATTCTCTTTTATTAATTTTAGACGAAACAAGTTTGTCTTTGAGATTTTCGGATAAGCCATTACAGCAGGTTATGGAAAATCCCCTTTGAAGAAAGGTGATTTTCAATGAGACGCCAGTGCTTGTGGATAGAGGCCCAAATATTTCTTCGATCGGAATAAACGGTGACAACAAGCGGAATTCTATTCGTGTGGATCGTCTTATCTTTCTATTCTATTAGGATCTTTCAATATTGTTCT